GACAGTTCCTGTTGCATCCAGGAGCATTTCTGTAGCACTTGCACCGATTTTGTAATGTTTAACAGGCAGGATGAACACACTAACACTTGTTTGTTTTTTAAAGTGCTACAAGGTAATATATAGCATTACAAATATAGCATCTGTCCACAGCCATACTGTATTACCTGTAGCAGGCTAGCCTTTCACACTAAAGGTATATTTCTAACTAGTTCCATTAGGAATGATATCAAGTACTTAATGCTTTTTCCCCCCCAACCTTTCCAGCTTCAACAGCAAAACTTAGATGGCTTAAGTTTCCAGTGGGCTGTATAGCCTGTATTAACAGTTTAGCAGTGGGATAGGCTTGCACCTACTCAATAGGCAAAATAGGATCTGTCCCATTGCTTTTACCTTGAGCACCTGTATCATAAGGCAGTGGGAGATGTGGGAAAATGAAAACATAGGCAAAGGCAACCTTATCCTTACTAACAAGCAGGTAGAGCCCATTCACCACAATCCCTTTAGTTGGGCTAATTAAAGGCTTTGATTTAGCAGCTGTTTAAAAAGCAGGCTAAGTAACAGTGATTGCAGGTATTTGCTTTTCAGCTGGGTTCAAGCATTGGTCAGCTAACAAATGAAATTCTAGTTCAGGGCTTTTCTTTGCCCTAAAAGCAAGAGCTTCGTGAGGGACATGAACAGAAGTGCACGAGTGACTGAGTCTGTCTGTCCCCATCTGTCTGTATGTAGGATGAGGCCCTTAATCATAGAAACCCAGGAACAGCCTTGATTTGTATTACAGTTGCTGCACTTAAGTTTTCAATGTAGTAACTGGTCTAAGTGTAGTGGTCTGATCACATTTTGCCTGACTGTATCTCATGCTATTCACCATCTACCTTCTCATATGGCAAATATGAAAAGACTTATGTTTTAAAATGAGAGCTTCATAATGGAAGGACCCAGAGGAAGAAGTTGCGATTTGCCCAAAGTGAGAAATTACAAAAAAAAGTTTATATTTACTTTGCAGTACCTGTGCTCTCTAACATTAACCACATTAAGGTAGCACTGTCAGATGAGGACTCTTTGGGAGTGCTTCACATAGCATGTGTATATACTGAGAATAAGAAAAATGTCCTTTGTTCCCTCTTCTAAACTTGATTTTTAGGATTTTGAAGTAAATAATAGAGGGCAGGCAAACAACCATAACCAGAATATTTTATTTAGCAAAATAACCTGTTGCTTGTTTTATTTTATTTTTTTAAATGTGCAGGTGTGAAACCCTTTTTCAGAAGACTACACCATAGAACAAAGTTGCAAATCGGGTCTGAATGCTAGGAAGATCTTTGTCTTTGTCTGCTCCCTTGTAAGCTCTCATCAGGTCCAAGCTCTACATTTCATCATGTTTTTATTCCAGAAAGGTAGTTTCATTTTTCTCATATACAATATGGCACTTGCTGAAAGATGGGGGAACTTGAGGGAAGAGGCATAAGGCCAGTCACATAGGTTTCAAATTAAATTGGTTTTATTTGTCTGGGAGTCCCAAAGCAGAAACTAGGGAGCTTCAACGTGTTCTGGTATCCGCAAAGGACTAGAGGAAGTCCCCCTGAGCCTAGAGGCCATTTAGGCTAATGTGGTTTAGGCGCACCAGGTTCTGTAGCCAACCGCAGACGAGAGAGTAAAGTGGTTCTCACTACCTCCAGCCATCTTTAATTCCCCAGCATGAATGACCAGGAACTTATTTACTGCTCAGTTGACTAGGGGCAGGTTTGGGCACTAGTCTAAAATAATGCTTGAAGTCATTTTTCTGGAGCTATAGGCAGACACCTGCCACTATGCTCTCAGAGGCAGTGTGACAAATTTGGATGCTGAAGCCTGTAAATCCTATTAGCCCCTTTTTAAGCATGTCTAAGCATATACACATTCACAGTAATGTTCAAACAGTCCCTTTCTTTTATGTCTGTTCTGCTTTGCATGCATTTGATTTAAATCAATGTGGGCCTCTGATTTCCTTGTCTGAAACAGTTGGGACAATTCCAGCTACATTTATGTTTATACCTAAGTGAGCAAAACAGAGGCCACAATAACTTAGATACCTTCACACAGCACTTTTACTAGCAGAATACACCTCAGTGAGGGCACAAGAGTTGGAGGATAATTTTATAACATCTTTGGTAACAATTCTAGAGATTTGACCAATTAAGAATGACAGCTGTCACAATGAATATAATAAATCATCTCAGCTTGACTTGCCTTTGTTATTGCAGGAGTATCTCCTGATATTGTCTTTTAGGCCAGGTACAAACTTTATTCTTTACCAGTATAAGTGATTGAAAACTGGTCTATACCTGTAACAGAACAGAAGCTCAGTACATATAGACTGGTTTAAAAGTGTTAAAACCCGGTCTAAGATTTGCCCCCCACTCCCACTAAAGAGTGAATGTATGTTCTGTTTGCTACCAATCTAACACTATGCTGCTCATAGAAAACCACGTAACTTAGATCAATTCTGTCTTGGGCATTTTGAATGTCTGTACTTGGCCCTAATAACTGACAAAAATGTGTTAAATCTGGTGTGGGAAAACATGCAAAGAGAAAGATATAAGAAAGTTACTACCAAAGGATTGCTAATTCTAGAAGAGTACTACTAATAGTAACAGGTTTTGATGGCAATCATTTGAAAATGTAAGCAGAACAGATAATACAATTCAAAATGGTCCTGAATCAAAATTCTAGATTCAAATGTTCCTAGGCTTTGAGATAATTAAGATCCAGATAAAAATTCCATAGCATGGTCTCTTCTCTGTCAGTAATTTTGGGTAGCATACCACCTTCTCATTTTAAATAACCACAAGAAGTTTCAGAAACAGTAACATATATGTACCTCAAATGTGAGCCTGGACACTATAACTAAGAAGAAGAATTGATTAACTGTGGTGAAGGTAAAACTGACTTATTACAGGGTAACTCCTTACCTCCTTCCACTAGAAATGGGAGGGCCTGACAGAGCCTGAGTCAGTATACATTGACCTCTAGTCTTAAAGTATATCCAAATTTTGCTGTAAGTACTACTCCTTAGCCATGTATGTGTTACTACTGTGTTGTTCATAGCTGAGAACAGACTCTACACACTCTCCAGTTTCACACATACCCAAGTCTGGCAGATAAACAATATATAAATAAGGTTATTGGAGGATTTGAGTGCTAAGATAACCTGAGAGTGGTGCTGGGGAATGAGCTCAGGACCCCTTGAAACAATGTTTGATGCCTAATTTCCTGGCTTGAACACACATGGAATAGAGACAAGTATGTGGGTCTTGTTCCTCTGTGGGGTATAGACTTGGGCCTTGAAGTTTAGTACAAGAGTTCTACATCCATGCATTTTGGCTATTAGACTGAAAGCTCATTCTCCAGGTTTCATTTCCCTGTATTTTCCTACTAGTGACTTTTATCATATTTTCTGCATGTATGAAAAAAAACTGCAAGACTGCGTTTGCAATCTACAGAGCTAGGACTTAGCTTTATTGAACATTATGGGGACTTGTATGTCAAATGAAGGTTCCAAAGGTTGAAAACTGAAGCTAGGTATATTCAGAATAATTAACGTTCCAGTTTTTAAGGGGCAAGTTATATAACCATTGCCAATACGTGGTAGATTCTCCATCATTAGAATTCTTTAGGTTAGGATGTCTCATGATAGGCCACAACTCAAATAGTAGTTATGAAATTCATACAGAAATTATTGGATGATGTTCCTAGGCTTACGTTGTGCAGGAAATAAGACGAGAATCATAATGCTATCTTGTGGAATTTAAAATCTATGACATGGTAAGTAAGGTTAGGAACTCAGAGAAGTTAATTTTCAGTAATGCACAACATAGGTCTGCAAAGGACTGCTAATACTTGACCTGGACATAATAGACTAGAATTGTGTTTCATGGCATGTATTGTATATTTAACATGAAGTACGTAAGAAAAACAAAAACGATACAGACAGTTAAAGCTTTTTCAATTAAATTATTTTCCCTCAGACACAAACATGTGTGAATACATTAAAAACACACACAAAAAACAAAATAATGTAATTTTTAACCTGAAATAGAAAAATATAATTAAGAAAGAGAAGTTTTATTAGGGCAATTTCACTTTATTTTTCCATACAGCAAGGTCAACTATAGCAGTAATAATAAAATAAGCATAAAAACAAATTGCAGCCCAGGACAGAGTACATAATTTGGAGCAACTACAAGCAAAAAGTAAGTCTGTGATTACATAATAGTAAAACCAAGCACATCTGTCCTTTCAGCAGATGAAAGTTGCAGGGTTGCAAGTAAGTGCAACGTTATTAATTATTCAATATAAATACTGGAGATGCCAGATAATATAATGGCCTAATCATTTTTTCTTTCCAGCTTTGGCTTATAAAATTACATGGTTTCTTGAGTGCTTTCCATTAAAATGGTAAAATCTGATAGGTTTATTTTTTTCACCTGCTAAAAGAACAGGACCACTACAGCAATAAAAAATAATCACATAACAACTACAGCTACGGTGTGCTGTTTGGTTTGCCTGTTCATGATTTAACTCTTTTTGTGAAAGTCAATATTTGTTTTGAAGGTTTTTTTGTGAATAATAAACCACTGAAATTGTCAAACTGGTTTGAATAGTATAATATTCTTAATATAGTTCTTTTTTGATACTTTAAACATGCAGTAGTTTTTGAATAATGTACGGAATATTTGATCCATGATTTCACCTTGATGGTTTGAAGTACCTGCTTTTTAATTTTTTTTTTAATATATATATATATA